TGGAAGCTGTCAGTGCTTTGGCTGCTCTGGGCTGCGTGTCCTTGAGCTGCTCCCTGGGCCTCCCTCAGCTGTGCTGAAAATGGGCCTCCCCTGCCTTGAAGTGAAGGTCTGAGCCTTGGAATTGCTGAGTGGGGGCTGTAGCCGTGGGCTGGGGGTTCTAGGAGTGGTTGTGCCTTGGGATCTTTTGTGTGCCTAAACCTCTTTGGCTTCCCCCAGCTCAGTGAGTTTGTTCAAGAGAAGACAGGACATCTCGACCAAATCCTGCCCTTCTGTCTGCCTTAGGGACCTTACTCAGGGATTGTGGGTCAGGTGATTCCAACTGTGTCAGGTGCTGTCCAAAACCACAGAAGCACAGATATGCCAGTGCACAGAATCACATCCCTCTGGGTTTATGCCTGTACGTTTTGTTTTTACAGTAATTACTAAACCACAACTCGTTCTCTTCTGCACAAAGCCATTTGTCTCCTGTTGAACAGTAACCTTTTATTTGCTCATGCTGTGTAGCAGAGCTCAAGGACATGTTTACTGCTGACAGCCAAAATTTCACCAGAACAAGCATCTCCCTTGTCTGGATTTTTCCACCTTGATTTAAGTGGTTAAAGCTCGGGGAAGGAGAATGGCCCTGTGTGCAAAGAGACAAGTGGAGGTTTGTGCTGTTCTTTGCCATGGAGAGAAAGCTGCCATCTCCATGGGCTTGGAGTGTTGCATGACCTGGATGTGAAAACACTGTAGTGAGGGTCTCACCTCTGCCCGAGTAACTGCACTGTCAGGGATCTGTCGGACCTCGCTGCGCTTGTCGCTCACACTTCACCTGCTTAGTTACAGATCTGAAACTGCAAACCCACCAGAATCCCCTCTTTTCCCCCTGTGCTCAGTGGTAAGTTGGGCTATTCCTGCCTCCCTTTGGTGCTGAGGAGAGGAGGTGACAGGAGTGGGGTTTGGCTGGGTGCTGGGATGTGTGATTTGGGAAGGGATGTTGGCTGGTTTAGTGTGGGTTTTCAGATGCCTGCCTTGGCTCTGAAATCAGGCTGGCAGGGGCTGTGCTCCCACGGAGGGCAGAGGACAGCTTTGTGCCTTGAAGATTTGACGACCTTTGTTCATTTGAAACGCCCTGGGTTTTTGTGCCACTCAACAGGAGACTTTTTAATTTACTTCCCTGGGCCTGGACGCTGGAGGTGGATGGATGGCTGATGGAAGTGAGGAAATAGATGGGAGAAAAAGAACATTTTTCTCCTGGGCTGTTTTTATGCACTTTATAGCCTAGGGGCTGGCAACATGGGGGAGAGTAAAAAACCCCTACAGAGCCTGGGTCAGAAAATATAACTCTCATGGGAACAAAATGCTTTTAACTTGCTGCATCAAAGACCCTCCATTCCAGGGGATGCTCTGTGTTTGAATATATCTGCATTCCTCCAGAACCCTGCATGTGAATGCACATGTATGTTGTGTGTATCTATGTGTGTGTACTTTTACATGATTCATAATCTCAAAGCCTTGGAATAGCTCTGCAGTTCAAACTGCTTCCAGGAGGATTCAAAAAGCAAAAAGCTCTCTGGCTCCAAAGCCCAGGTCTGTAACTGGAACACCTGCCTGGGACTGATGTGTGAAAAGCCTCCTGGCTCCTGCCCTGGGAGCCCCCCTTGACTGGAGTTCATCACAGCATCACCTGGGGCAGGCCAGAGGGTGGAGGTGAGCAGGAGGCTGCACGAGCACGTGGCTCTGTGCACTCTGGCTCTGTGCTTCAGCAGGGCCCTCCCCATTCCTGTCACTACAGGGTGAAGAATAGAGGTTGGAAATAGTCAGGAGCTTCTGTAAGCACTTAACATTCCTGATTTCATTTGTCTTTGATCTCACTTGGACTAATTTTACTCTCTTCTGATCCTTTCCCTTGAAGGGGCTTTTATCTCATTGTCAGGCTTGCTAATTTAGTGTGGTGTTTTGAACCAGACCTCCTCCTACGTTTCCAGAGCCTGGAAGGTATTTTTTTCCTTAATCAGGGAGTGTTTATGCAGTTCTTTGAACATCTTAGGACAAGACTCATAGTGGGGCTTTTTGCAATGCCCAGTTTGGGTCCTGGCCCCTGCTGCTCAACCTCTGTATGTTCAAATGGCCTGTCCCCAAAACCTGCAGTATTTTGGGGCTAAAAGGGCAGAAAGGAGGGCTGGGTGATTTGGGACAGGTCAGAGCAGCCCCATGTTGGATGGGAAACTTCATTTGCCCAGCTGGAGGCCTTCCCAGGCTGTGCTAAATAACAAACAAGGATGGGTTGTCACATGTGTTTGACCAACCAACCAGACACTTGGATCCAGGTAGGTTTTGACTTGGTGGAAAAGAGCTGGGTGATTTGGGGGTATAGAAACATCACCACTTGTTTTTGAAAAGCAAATACTTCTTGCTGTGATGGGAAGTGTGGAGCTGTCTGTTCTTACTGTGCTGCAAGCAGGTTGAGTGCATTTTTCAAGGAATTGAAGTTTGAGAGGCTGATAATTGCTTCTTACCATGGGAAGCTGCACTGCAGATCCCTGCTCTATTCCTGGCTGCCTGAGCCAGCCAGCTGTCCCCTTGTGCTTCACCTTTGGAAGAGGAGGAATGTTTCCAGCAAAATGCCATTCTAATTGCTGTCTGAAGAAAGCAGAAAATAGGACAGATATATTGGTTGTTCCCCAAGCGATGAGCAGGAGCTTCTAAGGACAACAAATGGGAGGGAAGGCAAAGAATGAAGACTTTAGAGAAGTGTCTGGATCGTTGCTTCTCCATGGATGAGGGTTCTCACGTGGGTGGGAGTTCTCATGACAGCATTTGAGCTGCCTCCTGTCCTTAGCTCAGCTGAGTTTTCCCTGGCCACAGACTGTTAACCCTCCCCTGTGTTTGGCCTTGTCACCTGCACAGGTATTTGGGGGGCTTGATTTCTCCCTATTTCATACATTGTTTTGGTGCTGGCTGTCTTGGATGGAAGCCTTCCAGGGGCAATGTCTTTCCAGTACATTTGGAGCAGCCTTTCTTGTTCATGTTCTCTTGCTTCTGCCCTCCTGTGGAGCCACTGAGTGAGTTCTGAAGCTTGCTGTGATTCTCAGAGGATTAATCTGCCCCAGCAGACATGAGCAGGCAGAACTGCCCTTACAGGGGGGATTTGGTGGCAGTCTCTGTGTAGTGGCCTGGACCCTGCAGGGCTGTGCTGGCTGATAAATCCAGAAATTACATTATGGTGTGTGCATGTTGGGAGCTCAGTGGCTACTGCTTCTGACTGTGCCCTCTTCCCACAGACTGTGAGTCAGCAGTGTGGTGGAAGCATCCATGTGGGAAAGCCCTAAATCCAGGGACTTGCAGGCAGCTTTGTGTTGGCAGTGGCTGCCCCTTTGTCCTGGAGTACAGCACCTGGCTGTTGTGCTGATGGGGCATCTCTGCATCCTGCTGGAGTTTGGCTTTGGGAACTGGGAGATTGTCCCCTGGACATCCTAGGGAAGGTGACAGTGCTTGAGGCAGAGTCCGTTCTGTCCCATGATGATGGCAACCAACAGCCAGCAGGCGAGCAGGGACTCTTGTGGAGCCTCCTCGTCACTGAAGGGACAGAACTGGCCAACTCCAACTCTTGGTGGTCATTCTACCACCCAGCAGCAAAGACAAACCCGACAAGTTCCCATCCCACAGGTGCCGAATCGGCCCTGCACGTGGGCAGGGTTGGACCCTTCCTTCCTTCCAGGGGCACCTGCGGTATCCGGTACACGCCTTGAAATAATTCCATCTCCCTGCACGTGTAATTTTGTGTGTCATTGCCCCTAATTGCATGCTTAACACACACTCTTTTAAAGTGCAGCCCTTTTATCAGCAGTAGGTAGTAGCAGGTTTAATAGGGTGTTTGAATTCCTATAAAATTAATCTGTAGCCTTCTGCGATAGGAGACGGGCAGGGAGCCATGTGGTTCATATCCAGTGTTGATAAACTTGTTATAGAGGCAGGAAACATTTCTGATTGGAGCAGTGACAAAATAATTTGGAGCGGAGCCATAAAAAGAGTGGATGGTGATGGTTTGAGCACAGCAGAGATTGAAATTGCTGGTGTGTGGAAGCAGCGCTGCCAGCTAACATTGACTTAGTGTCTCTGGAGGACTCTAACGGCAAATGCATTTTATTAATGGCAATATTCTGGTAGGAAATGCTGAGCATTGTTTCAGAGGTGGAGCTCCCCTCGAGTACGTGGGTTTGGAAGTTGGCCAGACCAAGATCTGCTCAGCTGAGCTTGCTGCTGGTCACTGCTCCGGCCTCAGGCTGCAGCAGGGAGGTTGCCTAAGGGCACGTGCAGGGTACTGTCTGCTAGCAATTGGAATATCCTTTTCCAGTGTGGAAAATGCATCCATTCCATTCTCATTCTGGCTTCACCTGTAAGGTGTAAAATGCTCAGAGACAGCAGGTCATGTTTTCAGCCATTCTTTTGTTGTCTTTGCTTTGAGATGAGTTTCCCAGCACATGAGTATCAGTGGGAGTTTGCTGTCTTACTGGATTCCCAGCTGGACTTGAGCTCTTACTGCCACTGAGAGGGGACCTGCTCTGACCAGGTTGTGGTCATTGTTCTGGGGATACCATGCTGGGCTTGGATACCTGCAGGACTTAGTTGTCCTGTGGGGGTTGATCAGGAGGATCAGGAGGAGGCTCCGGTGTGCAGGTGAGGGGAAGGCTTTGCTTGTCATGGGCAGCCCTTACTGCATCTTCTGTGCTTGTTCTTGCTGTTGCCGTCACTTCACCTTCTTCCAGCTGCTTTCTGCTTGAATCCAGCCTGGAAGAAGCAAGTGTGGACAGGAGGGGTGGCAGAAATGGTGCAGGTTGTGCAGCCACGGGGGTGTGTGATGGAGAATGCAGTGCACAAGTGTCATGGGAGGTGCTGGCCACCTCACAGGGCTGAATTTCACCTGGTGTCTCCAGCCACGCTTCCTTTGCTGTGGAAAACTGGGATGTGATTAACCAAGGAAAGCAAACCCTTCTGCAAACACTGTCTTGTCTTTGCAGGGAGCCTGTTGGAAGGGGATTCTCTGGAGCTGAGCTGTAGTGCTGGTCCTGCAAAGGTGATACTGGAGCCAAACCAAGCGGTGGTTTTGGACTGTAACCTGACCCCTGCTGAGCAAGTGATCAACATCACATGGAAGAAGAATGGGTTTCCATTAGTGGAGCAGGAACATCTCCACGTGCTCCCGAATGGATCGCTCTTCATCTCATCCCAGGCTGTGGCAAAGGACAGTAAAAGTCCTGGTGCTGAGGGGAATTACTCCTGCGTGTCTCACAGCTCCCTGGGGACTGTCACCAGTCAGACAGCTGCAGTCAGGTTTTCAAGTAAGTATTCTGGGTATTTTGTTGATCTTCCTTCTTTCCTTCCTTCCCCTCCTGGTATTTATGCAGAGCACCCTGCCTCCCTGAGAGTTTGAGACAAATTGTCTATGAAGTCAAATTCTGTTAATGATGTATAGGGGATTAGGGATAGTCCACAAATAAGCAGTGTTGTGGTCCTGTTATCCCACTGTGTAACTCTCCCAGGTAAGTGCCATCAGGCCATGACTGAAAAACAGGACCCTCCTCACTCTCCAAAAGGCAGGGCTTGTTTTTGCAGGGAACTTCAGAGCCCTGAGGGCAGCACCTTGTGCCTGGGGAAGTGGCTGTGGGGGTCTGGCTGTGACTGCTTGTGAGGTGAATATCTCTTGGATATAATGGAGGAGATGAGAGAAAGGGCTCTTCCAGGTGGTTTCTGTTTGGATCTCTGAGAAGGACATTCCAAAGTCTGAACCACTGAATCTTTGCACAGCGTTCGAGAATAAAATTCCTTTGTATTCAGGGATGGTTCCTGGAGCTATTTTAAGGCTGTGAGTGCCAATAAATGATTCCTTGATCTACCAAACAAGTGAGGTTAGAAAATAATGCAAATACATCCCCACTTCTCTCTAGTGCAGTGCCTTACATGAACATTGCTGAATGCAGGTGCACCATCATGGCACTTGATCAGAGCTGTGCTGGGGGAAGGTGCAGAGTGGATGTCCTGACACTCTCTTTACACTGGGATGTTTTTAGCCTCTGGTAGCCCAGGCAGGGCTGTCCAGGTTTGGCCAAGTGGGTGTTCCAGTCTGGGAGTGCTCTGCTACAGAAACCAGCATTGCTGGTGAAGCTTTGCCAGATTAGGGGAGGGTCTTTGACCTTTGCAACATGTCCTGCTTCTCTGCTCAGAAAATGTTTAGCATGCAGCAGCCACAGATTGCTGGTCACTCGTCCCTCCTGTTCCCCCCTTTCAGTGATTTGTAGTGCCAGGTAAATAGCTGGTTCCAGCATTTTGTTAGGTGAAAGGACCCTGAGGGCTGTGGGGATGGAGTCAGGGATCCTGCACGGAGGTGTTTTCTGGGGAGGTTGGAGTCCTGGAGTAGAAAAGCTGTCATTAGTCCAGGAGGATTTATTCAGCTGCTCCTGCCCCAGTTCCAGACAGCCCGAATTAGGATATATTCTCTTTTAGGAGTGATTTGTGTTGAAGTTTGCACTGTGCCTCTTGCCTGGTTGCAGTGGTTTGTGTCTCTCTTGTGGTCCTGGGTTTGGTGTTTGGTGTTTCATGAGCGAGAACAGTGGAGACACCTCAAAACCAGGAGACTGATTTACATCGCCCTTCCCTCCCCTGGATTTTTCCAGAGGAGCCTACAAAGGTGATGCCTCTTTCCATCTAATTCTGGGTTTCTCCCAGAAACAGGGAATTTCAGGTGAACTCTTTCCTTGTGTGTACTCATGTGTCATTTTATTACCATCTGCACAGGCAGAGTGCTGCCTCCGTGGCACACACGTGCACCTGACATAGCATACCCATTGCTGAGCAGAGAGCAGCGAGGGAGTTGATTAATGAGATGCATCTCTGCTTCGATTTGTTCTGTGGGCTGGGCAGGAGCCCTTGCTCCATTTGCATTCAGCTGGAGCAGGTGAGGATTGTAAAGGCCTGGGATTTTCGCCTGCCACTGAACAGGGGCTCTCCAGAGCTGTTTGCTTGTGGATGGAGTTATTCTGTGAGCTGATTGCCCTGGGCGCTGCTGATCAGGACAGGGCAGTAGAAGAAAACCTGTTCAGCAGGTGGGATGTGTTATTCCTGCTGTCAGCTTGTCCTTCTGACCTGCAGGGCCCTGCCTTCCCTGGGATGGGGATCCCAGGTGGGGATGTGGGTCACTCTGTGTGTCACCGAGCCTTGCAGTGTCCGGTAGGAGGGGTTCACAATACCTGCCTTTCTCTGCACTGCTTTGGTGCTGTTAGTGGGTCTGCCACGTTTCAGGGAGTCCCCTTCTCCGCTCTGGCAGCCCCAGAGCAGCTCTGGCACCTCTGGCACCAGCTTCCAGGTGGAGGGAGGGACACTCCAGGCAGCAGCCAGGAGTGGAAGGGGCTGGAGGCTGGAAGGGACTCTTTGGAGCAGTCAGGCCGGAGCGATGGGGGTTGGATGGTGTGTGCAGGCTGTGGCACTGGGATGACTTCCATCCTTCCACCGTAGCCCAGGAGTTCAGCATGTTGGCATTTTGCTGGATAAAGATGTCTCAGAACTGCCCAGTGTTCCCTGGCACTCTGTGAGCCACCAAGGGAGATCTGTGCCACGGTCCCATCCACACCTTGTGGCAGTGGTGGCCGTGGCAAAGAGGAGGAGCAAGGCTGTGAGGAACGTGGTGTGAGTGTGTCTGTTCAGTGAGCAGCTGCTCAGGCTGATGAATCAGGTTTGTGGGTTTCTCAGATCCCTGAGTGTTCCCACGTGGAAATACCAGGGGCGTTGTTGTAGTTGTGGGAAGGTGTAGCTTTCTACCTGTTAATAACTACATTGGTGGAGATTTGTTAAAGCTTTTAATTTAGCTTAAACATTTTGTGCAAAGGGAGGTTGTAGAAAATTACAGTAATTGTGGCTGTCAGATGAAGGCGTTTGCTGTGCCTGGAGGGAATGGGCCAGCACCCTGTGGCTGCTGGCAGCGAGCTCAGGAGAGGTTTGGATTGTTCCTGCACCTGGAGGGCCAGGCCACAGCAGGAATCAACCCACATGGGCTCTGATGATCCTCTCTCCACATGCACAGTGTCTCTTCTGCGCGGTGCACGGTGTGTCTGGGATTTGAGGAACAGCAGGCTGGGATTTACTCTTACTTTAAGGATTTGTGTTATGGATTTTATCCCATTCATTGTGTGGATTAGGTGCATAGGTGAGTGAAGGCTGGTGACTGTGGGCATAGCCAGGCTGGGCAGGGGCAATGCACAGGCTCTGGACCATCTGTGGCTGTGCTGCCTTGAGTAGGTGGGGAGCTGGTGCCTGTGCAGAGCAGGAGCAATCCTGTGCCTCCACGTGGCCCCGCAGACCCAGCCTGTGCTGGCTCTGCCCTGGGGCCGTGGCAAATCGCTCCCCTGGCTTTCTGTGCATGTCCCCCTTCCACCCTCAGCCTGTTCAGAGGTGAGTGGCTCAGGGATGGGTCATCTGGTGGTGTTTGTGATCTCAGTGGGGGCCGAAGCCGCCCCCAGCTTGGAAACACCTACTGATACTTACAGAAGGTACAAAGAGGACGAGCGCACCGAGTCTGGGGGCAAAGCGCTGTGGGAGAGAGCAGCGAGCCCCTTTCAGAAGGCTGAATTCCTTGCATAGACTGCATTTTCTGCCTGGGGTGTAGTGTTGCTGGCTGGCAGTCTTTCCAAGCTCACAGCCTCCTGCACGGATCATGCTGCTGGGAGAGGGGGAGGGTGCTGTGTTTCTCCATTCTGCAGTCACCCCTGGGCTCAGGGCTAAAAGCCTTGGCACACACGGCTTGGCTCCAGCTGGGTTTAACGTGTCAGCGGGGAGGGAGCTGCTGCTCCACTCCTGGAGGCGCAGAGCCCGGCATTTTGGCATGTCACTGAGGGCAATTTGCTGTAATGCTCTTCACCTTCTCACCTGCAGTGGGTAATTTTTACTGAGTGGCCTATTAAGGTGTTTGGGATAATCAGTGCAACGGGGCGAGGAGGTGTTTCGTGGCTCGGGATGGCTTTGCAAGCTAAACCTGAGCCGAGGAGTGGAAATTAATGTTGAATGTGTATCGGCTTTGTTTGCCTCTTCCCCTCAAGCCTCGCTACATGAAAACCTCTCACTTTGCAGCACTTGTGCAGCAGCCCCTTTATCAGAACGTGTTTATGGGGGCAGAACAGCCCCTCCCAGGATCCCCGTGTGAGGGGTGAGCAGTGTGTTGGAGCCTGTCCTGCACTCCCTGTGACCCATCTGTGCAGTGCATTGGAGTAGCAGGACCTGCCCTCCACTGCTCTCCTCCCATAGCAGCCTTGCCTGGTTCTTTTTCCTTCCAGCACCAGCTGTTGCCAGCACAGCTCTGAGCCTGGGTTTGGTAGCACTGGAGGTGCTGGATGTGTCCTGCCTCTTCCATTTCACCCTGGTGCCCCTCGGGATGAGAGAGGTATCACAGCTTTCTATGGTCTTGGCCCCAAGCTGGTGCAGATGCTTGTGATGAGCCTGACCAGTGTGTTTGTGCCTGAGCCTTGCAGGGCTGAGATCCAGGGGCCTTGTTCAGTCCTGCATCAGAGGAACCTTTTCACTGTTCTTCCCTTGGTTTGGTGTTGCTTCCTGTGCACAGGAGATTCCTGTTCCCATCCTCTCCTTCACCAGAGAGGCTTCAGGCTGCTGCTTTCAGAGGTGATTTTTCCAGTCTATCCCTATCCCCACTATCCTCATCCTGTCAAAGGAATATGACAAAGCTGCTTCACTTCTGAATTCCCCCTGCAAGAGCCATCACAAGAAGGCACTAACAGCCAAACCAGTCTGCTGGGCATTGCCAGGGTTGAAGCTCTGGCACCCACAGCTCTGCTGGGAAGCTGTGACTCCTCTTGGGAAGCTGTGACTCCTCTTGGGAAGCCTGGCTGTTCCTGCTGCTCCCAGCGAGAGGGACACTCCCTAATCAGGGGCGCTGTTTAGTCACGCTCCTCCACATCCTAATGAGGAATCCGTCACGGGCGCATTTCTTGGCTCTTTGCTTTTGAAGAGCCATTCCAGAGCCCAGCACAGCAGGCAGATGGGGCTCTGGATGGAGGTGAAGGGCAGGATTCGGTTCTCAGCAGGGAATTTCAAGCTTGCAGGCACAGGTCTGGCAGCTGATGGGCAGGAATGGCCAGGACAGGTTATTGCCTGCTAACCTGGGTAGCCCAGGAGGCTCTGTCACATTTTGTACACCAAGATGATGCCACTTAATAATGAACAGCAGAGAGGCAGGTGACCCAACATGAAGCAGAGAAAACAGAGATGCCTACAGATTTCTTCTTTTTAGAAGGATTCCTGCCTCCCATCATGACCTTCCCAGGTCCATGACCCTCCAGAGCCTGCCAAAATACTATCATTTATACCTGTGGGATGAAAAGAGAATAATGGGAAAGATGATTAAGGATTTTTGCTGCCAGGACAAGCTTGTTTTGATGGTGCCATCCTGAACTTGTGCTGGCACTTGATGGATTTTCTTTTAAACTCTTGGGTTCAGCAAGTTTTATTCACATGAGCTTAAAAAGATCTTGTAATCTGTAGACATGACTCTGTGTTAAGGGGGTCTGCAGTGTGTATTTGAGCATGCTAAAGCAGTTGGCTGAATTTAGGCCTTACATATTAATGTCTTTTTCAGTTTTTTTTTTTTTTCCCAGAAAAATATTTTTCATTGCCATTTGTATGGAACTGGGAAAGTAGACTTGGCAGACAGCTGGTGGGAGAATTTGGTCTGTAGCTGCTGCGGAGAGCAGCGAGTCGCTTGAAACATGTGATAACTATTTAAATTAAAGAAAAACACTAATGACAGCTGAGAATATGCCGAGGTTAAAATGGGTCGTGTAAAAGCCTTTCATTTTCCAAACTCTGCATACTTTCTCAAGCTAACACTGCAATAAAGCGTGTTTGTGTGTGCATGGATGTTTGTGTGCCTGTGAGACGCAAAGAAAACTTCACGTTTGGAGTCCTACAAAATCCAGAGCAATGATGGATGTTCTTGGAAAGCGGTGGTGGGACAAGCACACGATTGTGCTGGAGGGCCAGAAGGTCACTTGGGGTCCTTAAGAGCACAGTGCTGTGCTTGGCCCAGCAGTCAAGTGTGTTTTCTGGCTGAAATTTCTGTCTATTGTGCCACGTTGAGGGTTTCTGGCACCGTGTGCCAGCATTGCTGGATGGGTCTGTGCAGCAGGGTGGGTTTCGCAGCAAGGGCGTTTGACAGAGAAGTATTGAAAGCAGAAGGCAGTTCTTGTGCTGGAGAAGAATCCAGGCTTTCTGCCCCCATCCAGGAGCCTGCATGAATATTCAGCTCTCACCGTGTGACTGAGATGCCTTCGGGTTATGCCGTGGATAGGACAGATGCTGAGAGCCCCGGGGGAGGATCTCTGCTCCACAGTCAGCAGGGTTTTGTGTGCCTGGAAGGGGAGGAAGATGAGGCAGCTGCCTGTGAAGGATGGGCAGGGTGCTGTCCAAGAGCAATCCCAACTCTCAGTGCTTTGTCTCCAAAACAAGTTCACCCTGTAGTAAAGACATGCAGGCAGGGGTGAGCCTTTGCGCCCTGGCATTTATGAAATCCATCCTCCTCTTCTCAGCAAGGTGTCTGTGTCCCCTTGGCTGCATCCCATCTGCTTGAGGAGGATGAGGTTGGTTTTTTGCAGGTAGGAGAAGGAGGATCATAACCCCTGCAGCCTCTGCCCCTGGTCTCCAGCACTGCCAGCCCGTGGGCAGTTGTTTTGTGTAAATAACTTGCCGTCTGGCTTTGTTCTTCCTCCTGCCTTGCTTTAATTTCCTGTGGCTGCAGGAATGCTACAAAGCAAGGGGAAACTCTCATCTCTCCAGTTGTGGCATTTTCCTTCTGTTTCTCATTGTGCATGTCCTTCCCAAATTGAGCAGGGGAAAAGACAAGGAAGCAATTTAGGAAGGTAACTGCTGAAACCAGCTAATTGCCTGCCTTTCTCTCGCGCTGTTGCCTCGGGGGGAGAAAATGAGGCAAGGAGCAAATTTGCACATTGAAACCTTTCAGTTACTGTTGTTAGGACTGCTGAGGGTCCGCAGGGCACAGGAAAGGGAGGAATTGCACTTCAGGTTCTCTTTAGGAGGGAAAAGCCTTCCTCATAGCTCATCCATCGCAGCAGGTTTGCATTGCTCAGCAGAAACAGCGAGTTATTAACTGCCCTTCCCTGTTTCTCTCCCCAGCATTGTCACGCTTCTTCCAGCAGCCGGAGTCGCAGACGGTGGAAGAAAATGGCATGGCCCGGTTCGAGTGTGGCATCGAAGGGCTGCCCTCCCCTGTCATCACGTGGGAGAAGGACCATGAAGCTGTTCCTGCAGAACCCAGGTGACTCCCTGATTGCTTTCCCGGGCCAGCTTGAAAAAGAACAAAACTCAACCTGAGCATTCGGGGTGTGGAAATCCTTTGTAAGAAGGTAGAATGAAGAGAGAGCTGATCAGGTTTGGACCTGATAATTAAGTGGTTCAAGAGGAGGTATTCCGGGGGCCCATGCAACATATAAAACACCTAAATAAAATTAACTTTTCCCCAAAGATCCAAACCACAGAAGAAGAAAACCCCAACCTGATATTGTGCTGTGTTACAGCACAGAACCTGCACCCTGTGTGTGCCTGGGACAGGGCAGGGCAGCCCTTGGCACTGCCCTGGGCTCGTCCTCTGGTGTGAAGTGAGGTGGAATTCTTTGGAGGATTGGGACCTGGCATGAGGACAGTTTCTCCAGCTGACCACGGGGTACTGGGTGTACCCATCTGAACTCCATGATATAGAGTTTTATTGATTGTGGTTTTAGAGACAGTTGTTTTCTTCACTGTTTTCCCACGTGGATTTATCTCAAGGTTAATGAGTCTTCTAGAGCACAGTGTGTGCTCAGTAACCTGGGAGGTCTTTCTGTTTGTTTTACTCCCATGTTGGGAGGACATCTAATAAAAGACCCTGATTTTTCCTTTTTTTTTTTTTATTATTTTTGGGGAAAAGATGAGAGTCCTGCAGTATGATACCTTTTCCTCAATGAAAGTCAGTTAAAGGCATGAGAAGGGGGTAAACCCATTAGTTGGCTGTTAGTTGGTCTGTAGACATCACTGCTGCAGGGGATCAGTCACTGAATTGTCCTCTAGTTCTTAAAAACTCCTTTTCCGTTCTGCAGAAGGAGATGTTTCCTTCCCAGGGAAGTTAATCCAAGAGGCAGGAGAGGAAAGAAAGAGGAGTGGGGTAAGGTTAAGGAATATTTTTGCAGCAGTGACTTTCTGTAAGAATAACCACTTACATCCTCGAGTCTGAAGCGTGGCACCTAAAGGTTTACAGGAGGCTGTTGCTTTGTAAGGAGAAGAAAATTAATTAATAAAAAAGGAAGGAGGAAAAACCCAAAAGGAAGGCATTGCAGGGAGAAGTGTGCCATAGATAGGGCAATGGCTTTTTAATGAGACAGCTCGATGGATATTGTGAAATTACTTGCTCAGAGATTGCTTTCATCACAGGCAGCCTGAAAATTGTTTTCCTTGTAAAAGCCAGGCCATAATCTCTGGCTGCAAATCTTGCTTTTTAAATCATGTTCTAGCTAATATGCTTTTTCAGAAGGATTTGCTTTTTTTTGTTGTTGTCTAGTTGTCGTTGGATTTAATATAACCGGCTTTCGAAGGAATTAAGTGAATTCCAGGAAACATTGGCTGCCAACCAGAGCTCTGTGTTATCCTCCCTGCATCGAGCCTGAGGACTGGATCTGAGGCTGCCCTGGTTGCTGTGGGCTCCCTCCTGAGCACACCGGGATGAGCCTCTGCAAATGCAATCCTGGGGCTGGGCAGGTGTCAGGGGGATGATTTCACAGTCCAGAGTAGCAGGGTTGGGAGGGGTGCAAAATGAGGCTCTGGGGCTGGAGATACAACCCTGGAGTAGTGCTATTGCACCAGGGCTTGGGATTTCTTTTAAGAGAGAGAGAATAATCATGAAAAACAGTGCTTCCTCCCTTCTTCCCCCTCTTCCTTTTCTATTTCTCCCCTCTTCCTTTTCCCCTTTTCTTTCTTTCTTTCCTTCCCTCTTTGTTGATCTTACTTTTGGGCACTCGTTTCAGCCTTCTCCCCTGGGTGCAGGTTCTAACATGGTGCCACCTCAAAGGTACTGAAGGCTGAGCTTAAAAAATACTTAGACACCCTCAAAAGGGTAGCGAAGTGCCAATTGGTGTTTTTGGAATACCTTTCCTGTCCCTGTTCAGGACAAAATCTAAATTCCATCTGTGAGTAAGGCACAGAATTATTTTGCAGTTCTGGCTCTGAATTATGTTGAAAAAGCACGGTCTTAAATCTGCAGCAGCTGCTGAGAGGTGGCTCACAGGATTTCTCTAGCCTGCAGTTGCTTTGAGGGGTGTGCAGCATCTCTTGGCGTGATCTCTTCTCTCTTTAGGTGCTGGCTGGGTTTCACATCAGGCTCCAAACTGCTGTTTATTTTCTCTAGAGCCAAGATGAGCACTTGGTATGAACCAGAGGCCTTTGGAGGTCTGCACAGCACACCCATAGCCTCCAGATCCCATGCTCTGCAATCACAGTGTATTTTTCCACATTTTGGCTAAGGAAGGGTTTTATCTGTGTGAAGAGTTTATTTCTGTGCAGTGTCAGAAGAGCCTTAGTAGGGCTCGTGTTCAAACAGGGCTTGTGTTCAAATAGGGCTCTTGAGCTGTGAGAAAAAAGACTTATAGAGAGTCTGCAGCAGAGCTGCAGGTTCCTCACTGCCCTGAGGATTGGTGCTTTGGTCCGTTCTGGACACCTTCAAAAGGCTGCAGTAAACTGTGCTGGCAGCTTACTGGGGAGAACATAAGAGAGGGAATTGGGCTGTTAATGCTGGAACGTTGTGTGAGCTGTGGGGTTGCAGGTTTTGGACACGAGGCAGCAGTGCTTGATTTCAGTTCCTGAGCACTGCCCTGGTGAGCAGCTGTGAGCCCCTCTGTGCTCTCAGGGAGGGGAACAGCTACACGTGTGTGCCCTGTTGCTCTTGCTCTGTGTCCATGGTAGTTGTGCCCTGCTCTGAGAGTGCTGCCCTTCGACCCATGCCGGGTGGGGCACTTGCCTTTCACCGCCCTTCAAGGCAGGCTCCTGTGAGATCCTGACACTGCAGCTGTCAACAGCAGAACTCCTGAGACTGCCAAGGGTCCAGCGTGTCTGTCTGTCCTTTGGTTTTTGTTTTCTGCTTGGTCCACAGCAAAGGTGAGCAGACAGAAAGCTCTGCCCTTTGCGTGGAAGAAAAGCCCTCGCCAACTGTCTGCTCTGAGTCATCAGGAAACTTCCTCACAGAGAGCCTGGGGATGGAGCAAGTGCCCTTGCAGGCTGCCTGGAGGCTTCTAGTTCAGGGCTGCTGGGACCTTGAAGAGCTGGAGGCTTTGTGAGCAGCTAGGAGAAATGGTGGATTGAGAAATCCTGCCTTTCTTTCCTCCTTGCTTCCCCAGCAGAGCGATCCTTTCCTCTGCCATGCTTTCCCAGCAGGATCCACTGCACCAAACAGATCTCTACCACTGGCCTTGCTGAAGGGACCGTGTTAAACTCTGTGTTGATGGAGTCTTCCCACTCATCCCCCTTGTCTCCAGCTCCTGCTCTCTTTAGAAACACAGTGGCTTGTTTTCTGCCCTCAAGAGAAGCTGAGAGTGTTGGGCACGACTGTGGACACGGCTCTGACCCCGGTCCGAGAGGAGAAAAGCCACAGGCGATTTCCAGGGGTCCTTCCCAGCCTCGTTGAATCTGTGGTACATAATTGGAGTGTCTTTTTGTGGCTGGGAGATGCCTTGCCTGGTGTTTGAAATATGTTGATATTAATTACAGACTCAAATAGCAGATGCACGACAAAAATAAATATTATCGCAGTGGGAGGCTTTCCCTGCGCAGAGCCGAGGGGATGCAAATATTTGTCATCTTTCTTCTGAGTCCTGATGAGGCATCCTGATGAGGGCTTTTGGGTACCACCTCCTCTGAGGTCTCTGGAGCTCGATCCTGAGCAAAGTGTCTTTGTAAGTAGCGGGATCGTGGCTTTAGGGGTGTAAGGAATTGGGTTTGTGTACGGGGGAAGGTTCAGCCGGTCTGTGTCCATGAATCAGGCTGTAGGATTGTGCCAGTAGAAGCACAGTGGTCAGTGGAGGAGCTCTGGTAGCTCTTGAGGAAGAGATATGATGAGCTCAACTGCAGCAGCTGAGGTCCAGAATTGATGCTACACTTGTAGCAGGGACATTTTCCTCTGGAACAGACTGCTTAGGGTCAGGGAGGTGTTTCCATTACTGCAGATTTAGGAAAAAATGTTTGCAGGAGCAGGTGTGTGATTGGGGACCATGGCTTGAACACAGGATGAGCGATCTCTTAAGGTCCTCCTGGCTCCATGACCCTCATTCATGCAGCTGTCTCAGCACCCAGAGAACCACAGTTTTACTTACCGTGATCTTTGTGGATGGCAGGACTGGCATTCGTGGTTGTAACTTGTCTTTGTGCTGTTCCCGTGGAGTAGCTGCTGTCCCTCCCCTCAGCAATTGCCTTTGAATGTGTCCTCTTCATAATGAAGACTGATAACCCAGAGCTGCCTGTCAAAGCTCAGCAGCTCTGTTTATATAGAGACTTGCAATTAAAAATGGATCTCATATATAATTAAAAAGGATCACGTAGGCTTTGCGCCTTGCGTTCAAGAATAAAGAGGCTGCCATCTAGGAATCCAGGCAGAAAATGGAGATGCTGACAGCCAGCTCCTACTTTTATGCTAATTGCTAATCATCAGCTTTGTTCGGTGTAATGCAGCAAGGCCTGTGTTCGTGTCATGAGCCTTGTAGCCATTTCACTCTGTGGAAGTGTTGCCCAGTAGCACCCCATGGGCAAATGGGGGGATTCTGAGTGCCCAGCCTAAAGTTTGTCAGCTTGTGAAAATGCCAGAAACTCGTGGAAGAAGGAAAGGAATTGCCACAACCCAGGAATGGTGCAGGTTCAGATGGCTGTGTCCCGGCTGCTTTGGCCCATGAAGGTGCAGCCATGTATCAGTTGGTCCCTTCATGCTCTTGAGGTGCAGCAGGAAAAGGATGGTGTTCAGACTTCTTTGCAGTGTGTTTTTTTTTCTCTGGCAGCCAAATCTTTGTGAAAAGCAAGTGCTGAAACTGGCTGTGGTGTGTGTTCGAGCACCTGTGTGCTTGGAGACATTACAAATGTGTACATAGATACGTGTGTGTGCATGGAGTTGGTTTGTACTGTCAGATGGTTTGTGTCAGCAAAGCCCTCTCAGCTTGGTCTCTCAAAAGCAGATTCTGGATTGTGAAGACTCCAAGGTGATGGATAGGTCTGTATGTGCTGCTTTTGAAGAACCACAGGTTGGGTTGCTCAGAGGTTCCTTGATCCCATTCTGCCCATTTACCAAGACACATGAGACATTTGCAGGGGGAAAGGAAGGGATAAAAGGGCTTTGAGGGATGAACAGCTTGGATAAGGCACAGCCCGTCTCACACTCTTCCTTTTGCTCACTCAGGTTTATAACTCTTCCCAACGGTGTCCTCCAAATCGTGGATGTGCAGGAGAGCGATGCCGGCGTTTATCACTGCGTGGCCACCAACGCCGCCCGAAAGCGCTACAGCAACGAGGCCACCCTGAGCGTGGTGAAAGGTGAGGAGCTGGCAGGGGCCTGCTGGGCCGGGCACAGGTCTGCAGGTACCTGTCTGCACCTTAGGGAACTGCAGCATTGCTGCAAACTCATCTCCAGTGGCCTTGGAGGGCAAGACAAGCGAAGGCTGGCACGGACAGAGGAAGGTGCTACTCAGGTGGGCAAGAGAAGGAGTTGGAGGCTGGAGTAGTTGGCAGGACTGTGTCTACCTGAGTTGCCCAGCACAGTCCAGAGGGGTTTGAGCACAGTGACATCTGACTTGCATTCTGTGTCCATATTGCTGGCTCTTTGCTGAGTGCTGGGTAGGCTGCAAGAGATCTTTGTATGGTATTTGGGAATGGCCTCAGCTGGATTTCCTCTGGTGACACAGGCCTTTGGAGCAAGGCTTTGGGTGGGAGCTGTCCTTCACCCCCAGTCTGGGCCTCAGTCTCTGAGTGCATTTTTCTTTGTAAACCAAGAGTGCAGTGGGCAAGTCCGGACATGAGAACGTAGCTGAGATCGTGAGTGCAGTGGGGGTCTCCAGACTCCAGCGTCCTTCCCAGCACGCCTGGCTGCCTCCCCAGCATTGTATAATCCCCATTCTGTGAATGGACAAGCTCACCAGGGCTGGGACTCTGGCTGAGCTGTCCCTTCTCTCGGGACACTGCCCCCCTGCCACGTCTGTCCCCTGTTCGTGCTGACCCCGGTGTATTTTGCAGGCAGCTTTAACCTTGAAAGCTCCGAAACCCTTCCCAGCCCCTTTTGTCTTTGTTTAGGATTGCGTTGCTTGGCATTCTGCTCCCAGTGCATTTTCACAGCGATGGCTTTGCTGTTCATCCATCAGCAGGGAGTGTAATTAACTGTGGAGCCTGAGAACACACCTCAGATCAATGGATTGTGTCGTGGAGGTAATCTGGGAGGAATCTGCAGTGAATTCGTGAGCGGTTGAATGCTCTGTATGTAATTGCCAGCCCTGCCAGATCCTCTGTGTGTTTAATGAAGCACTGAGCTGAGGGGAGCGCTTCCCGTGGGCAGTTCCACACTCCAGAGGCAGCTCCCGTGTTGGGCCTGCTTTGCCATCGATAACTGATATCGATCGAGCTGCAAAGGTGAATTCGCTGTCCTTGGCATCACAGCTCGTTCTGCATAATTGCATCTTGTAGCTCTGCAATGTTTAATCTGCTTTGCAAATGGAGGCAGTGGAAGAGGTTAAATGGGAAGCGTTCCTTCTGGAGCACCAGCCGGCCCGAGCAGATTTCTGCCTGGAGTTCTCACCCAAATCTCTCTTCTGCAGCACCACACCACCCGCTGGCTGCTAAAACAAATATGCGAGGTTGAGTTTTTCACCAGATTGAGCTGATAGTGATGAAAAACATGCCTGTTAAATCTCTGGGGTTTTTTATAATTGGGGAGAAGTATCTCCAAGACAGATGGGAAACTGCAGTGACCTGTGCAGGCTGCAAACTCCTCCACCAGTGACTGGCATGGTATTGATCCTTTTTTGTTTCATCACTTCACCATCGCAGGCACATTTTTGGATGCCTGGACTGGCTTGAGGAGTCTTTCCTCCCTGTTCAGAAGCAGCTGAGAGTAGTTAGAGTGGTGTGGTCAGGCAGAAATCCTTTGCCAGTTGGGAAACAACGAAACTAAACCAAAACAAACAAAGAATTCCAGGAAAAATAAAAGCGCAAAACAAACTGAAAAACAAACAACGAAAGAACAATAGCCTGAAATTACAGCTATTTAGTGTTGCTTGAGTTGCTTGTTTGGAAATATCAGGGACCAAACTCCTATGTGTCTGCAGGCAGGAGCAACTGAACTATTCCCCTCCCTGCTGATGGCTGGGGAGTCCTTTGTGCCGAGGTAGGATGACAGTCCAGCCTTTAATTCCTGCTGCACTGCCCAGGGCCCTGGAAAAGATTTGTGCAGTGGGACCTCGTGTCTCCTTACCAGCTGTCCTCTGCTTTGGTGTCCTGCTGGCAGCACTGGCAGTGCCGTGTGATGATGATCCAGCCTGTGCTCGGGGCAGATTTTGGGGTCTTGCTGGTGATAATGCAAATGCTTCCAGCACTCAGGCCTGGGAACATCTCATGTTCGTGCCCCTTCCCCTGCCAGACAGGGCTGATTTGAATGGGCTGTGCATAGCAAAAGAATCTGTTTCCCTGTAACTCTTCTGCCCAGTTGTCCTGTTCCTCCCCCCTCTTCCCCCTGTTCCCGATGTGATGGCTGGGAATTGTTCCATCTCCCTTATTAAAGGCCTTTTCCCCGTAAAGGCAGCAATTAGCATGACACCTCCTTCTGTCATATCTGCACAGCCTAAAATCCCCCAAAGTGTTGTTTCCCTGGACAGTGTGACTTCCCCCATCCCAGGGGGAATTCCAGCTGTGCTGTGTGTCCACGCTGGCTTTCCCCAGGCAGGGCAGGGAGCGGCGGTGCTGCAGATGTTTCGGCTGTGCAGACTTCATGGTGCAAATTTCCAGACCTTCCCTGGGGAAGCTGGAAGGGAAGAGAGAGCAGACGGGACAGCAGGATACAGTCAGGCAGGCCTGCTGTCCAAATAGGGATAGCCTGGATTTTCCCCTTGGATCTGCACTGCTCCCCAGTGGATGCACTGCCGAACACATCTGGCAGCTCTGTCCCTTCACCCCTCACCTGGACAGGTGATGAATGACCACTGCAGCCCTCTCTGCCAAAAAGGGCATTAAGAGCTGCCTGTGGGATGCTTTTCCACGGCTCTGGATGTGCGTGCTGCCTCTCCCTGGGGTCAGCTGTGTCTTGTTTCTTGTAGCTCCTTTCTCTGGAAGCAGGCTCTGGAGCCCTGCTCTGAACTTGTGTAAAAAGAGCTAATTCCCTGTGTGTCCTGGTCGTGTTGCCAGGTCCCTGACATGCACAGGGAAGTGTTGCCACGCTTCATAAAGCAGCTCTCAGAGAGGAGTAGCAGAAAGGCTTGGGGAACATGACGTGTGGTCTCAGCAGCTCACTTTACCTGTCACTTCACTTTTCCCCTCCGTGTCATGCACAGGCTTTCTCTCTGTGTTTTCATGGGAGCAGGGGCTCCCTCTTGCTGTGTGTTTGCCCCACCACTGGCACAGTGGGGCACAAGTAACAGTCAGAAGCTGTGCTTCTGCTGGAACAGTAGATTGTTGCAAGGACTTCATCCCTTCTGTTTTTAAATGACAGAAGGAGTGGGACTCCCCCTAACTCCCATTGCATCTTCCCCATTGAGTAAATACCAGGATCTTTCTTCTCCATTGTGAAGCTAAATTTCACTTTCCTGCAGTTCATCCTATTAGCTGTGGTTGCACAGTGTTGTTAGTCTTGACAAAATTCTTGTTCCTCCTTGGTTTTTAATCTCTTTGAGTATGTATAAGCAGTGTGGTGTCCCCTAAGTGACCTAAAGAAAGTTGAGGATCTTGGTAATTTTAGAATCTAATAGAGTTTTCTCCCACTGGGGTGAGAGAAGGACAAGACATTCAAACAAGACCATCCATTTTGAGATCCCAACCCCACAGCTCCTCCCTGTAGATCTCAGGTGTTTGTCTTTTCATATTTACTGGTTATTGCAGAGGAGTCATCAACGTGGGGTCCGGGAGCTCCTGGGTTCTACTTCCCTCTCTGTTGTCGGGCTGCAGAGGAGAATCAGTTCCTCAACACTTTAATTTCTGTAAATAGGGATAATGTAATAAATAGCCTTGGATTTGCCCTTTTGGAAGGAATGGGCCATTCTGGAAAGTGATTAGGGGCATTTGATGCCAGAGGGCTTTGAGGGTCACGTGCAGAGGGATGTGCAGACGTGGACCTCGGTGTGGATGTGGGATTTCTGTTCCTCGTGCCCTCTGTTCCTGGTCTGTGTGCGTGGGGTGGCCGTGACTGCTGTTACACGTATGGGGAAAAGCCTTTGCCTCAGCCAAGGCTGGCAAGAAGCAGAATGTGCCTTCCCCCAGCACCGACAGAACCTCTGTCAGGGGTGCTGTTTGCGCAGCGCTGCTCCAGGTGATCCTGTCCCGGTGCTGCAGTAATGCAGGGACGGGAGAACAGAGCGGGGCGATGGGTGGGGGTCTGGGCTGAGCCACTGAGGAGTCTCTCGCAGCAGCTGAGCACGTCCCCCGTGAGCTGGGATTTAGTGCCGTGTTATTAGAGATGACACTGCGAGATTGCCGTTGGCAGAACATCATTTACGCTGACAGTTGTAGCAGCTCGCTGCAGCAGTGTCCCAGGAAATGGATTTTTCAGCCAAATATGTGTATGAAATACGATAACAGGGACAGAGCTTGGAGGCAGCGAAACACCTTCAGGTTTTTTTTGTTCTTTTGGTGTTTGCATTGCAGTGGCTTGCAGGAACCCAGGGAGAGCCTTGGTGGTTCCTGCTCCAAAGGGCTGTAGGAAAACACAGCGTTGACTGGGCTGAGCGTTGGGGATGGAGGGGAAGGTGGTGATGAAGTGAGCAACACTCGCAGTTGGCCACCACCTCGCGCAAACAGACGTGCTGTTACCACAAGTGGATTTGCAGTCCCTGCATGTGCGAATGACGTGCTGGATGCTGCCTTGGCGCTCAGCCTGAGCCCTGGCACCACGTGCTGGGCTCCCCTCACGGCTGCCAGCACAGGTACCGTGCAGGCAGGGGACAGGGAAGATTGGTCTGGTGTCAGTGCTGCTCTGCTGTGACCTCCCTGAGCGCTGCCGGGCGTTGATCCCATGTGTGCTGCTCTTGGTGGAGAAGGGCAGAGTTATCCAAGGTCCCACCTGGACAGGGGTGGTCTTCCTCCAGCAGGAACCTGTATGGCAGAGACAGCAGGGCCTTGCAATGCTGTGGGGACACAGCTATCCACAGCTGTTGGTAGGCATGGACACTGCTTCTGGGAGGCAAGAGGCATGGGAATGTGTGGGGAGAGAAAGCACGGGGTGGGATAAGGCAGCTGCATTTTGGCTCAGAGTTGTTGGCATAATCATCAAGTGATGGAGAAGGAAACATCCCAGTTCCAGCCTGCCATTGCCATGTTCCTGTTTCCTGTGCCTCTTCTGC